ATTGATAATAAAATTGAAAAGTGTTTAAAAATACAAATCAAAATATTAATAACAATAAAAATAAAAATAAAAACAGAAAATGAAAATTAAACTTAAAATAAAAGTAAAGAGAAATTCAAGTAAATTAACTAAAAATTTAATTTTATATAAAAATAAATTAAAATAATAACGATTTGAAATAAAATTTGATATAAAAACATTAACAAAATTAAAAATAAAAATATGAAAGTGAAACAAAATATAAAAATAAAATTGCATTAAATTATATTATATTAAAAATAAATATAATCGTATATTAAAAAAAATGGTTAAGAATAAAAAATAAATGTAAATAAAAATAAAAATGATTGCAAATAAAATTGAATAGTGTTTGAAAATACAAATAAAAATTTTAATAACAATAAAAACAAAGACAGAAAATGAAAATTAAACTCAAAATAAAAGTAAATGGAAATTAAAGTAAATTAACTAAATTTGTAATTTTATATTAAAATATATATTTAAAAATAAGAAATTAAATTTAAATAAAAATAAAAGCATAAAAATAAATAAAAATTATAATGATTTATAACAAAAACATTAATAAAATTAAAAATAAAAATATGAAAGTAAAAAAAAAATAAAAATAAAACTGCATTAAATTATATTATATTAAAAATAAATTGTAATTTTATACCAGAAAATATAATTAAAAATAAAAATAAAAAAATAGCATAGAAATAAATGCAATATATTTTCGTTGCCGGAATTCAAAAGGTATGAAATTTAAACAAAAATAAAAGAATTAAAAAATAAAAATAAAAAACTAAAAAAAAATATTTAAAAATAATCAAAATAGAAATGAAATAAATATAGATATAGTAAAACAATTCAAATTCAAATCAAAATGAAAAAAAAATAAAAGAATCAAAAAATAAACCTAAAAATCCAAAAAAAAAAAAATATTAAATAAAAATCAAAATAAAAATGAAATAAATAACTTAATAAAAATGCAAATTATAATGAAAATAAAATCAAAATGTAGTTATATTATTATTATGCCATACATAGACTTGTTGGTACTCTCTAATGGCCGGTGGAGGCCCAATCCAAGTCGTTGGTGTGTTTAACGCCTTATGGCACGTCAACACCTTTAAATAAAACTAAAGAGCACTTATTCTAGTGACCCTAAGTGTTCTTTGGTATTATACTCGCGTTCATAATATAGTCAGGCAGAAACAGAGGAAATGTGTATTTCCTACATTTATCATCATCATTTATCTTCCAAGCTAACTTTTTTATACCAAATATTCTATGATCCACTTTCGAAAGCTCAATAACTAATTTAGCGTACGATTCTGAATACTTTTTTAAGTTTTTGTTTCAAATTAGCTCATTTCCAAGCGAGTGACTTTTAATATAAATAGCTGAGTTTCATTTAGTTTTCTATCTCACACGTACGTAGTTTTCCTTTCTTATATACTAATTTCAATTTTTTATGTTTTTTCCTTATAATTCTTCAAACTTTTCGCAAAAAAAAAATTTTTGCTGAAATTCTAAAACGAAAAGTATTTAAGTTCATATAAACTTTTTACCACATACTTAATGAACTTCTTATATACTCGTACTCGTACATATGTATATGTATTCAGCTATGTATGCGCTTTTATCATTTTAGCACATGTACTTGCCACTTAAGTGTAACAAGAATTTTATAGAGTATTAATTTCTTTGATGTCACTAGTACTCAAGCGCACGCACGCACACACACATACACAATCGGATTTCGTAGTAGTGGAGTGATAAGTGAAGCCGTGGTGGGAGTAAAAGCTAGCTTAAGACCATTAGGGCAATTTTAATCATTTTTTTCTGATTAAATTTGTTTGGTAAAAATTAAGACTGCTCAGTGAAAAATTAATAATCAATTAAAAAAATTTAATATATGTAAAAAAAATTTTTTTTAGGTGAAGCATTAAAAAACTATATAAGTATATTTAAAATAAAAATATTTAAAAATAATTATAGAAAGTTAGCACACTTAGCATTAATATAATATTAATTCAAATAAAAAATAAAAACTAATTAAGCTTTTAAACAATTAAATGGAGGAGATTTCACACTGGGTCTATTAATATTCTTTACGTAAGTAAAAAAAAAACATTAAAATTACGTAATACTAAATGTTTTAAACACTTTTTAATCCATACCTAATAAATATTCTCAAAACTAAAAAATAAATTTAATAATTAATCTACATCGAAGTAAATTTTGAACCAAATTTTTTTCAAAAATATGGTTAATCAATTTTATGTTTTTTTGCCTTTTTTTTTAAATTTGGAGCTCATTTCATTTATATTTTATCGTTTATTTGTTAAAAAAATGTAATTTTCAAGAAAATTTTTTTATTTCAAATAATGAAAAATTCTTGGATATTTTCCGTAGTCTCTAAATCTGCATACTTTATTGTTTTGATTTTCCTTTTAATTTGTTTTAACCACAGTAAAAAACTACAAAAAAAACTTTGAAATTCTTTATACAAATTTTTTTTTTAATTTTCAATATTTCCTCCTTAGAATTTTTGCTCATTTCACTGACTTTATAATCACTCCACTATGTGTTTTGATGCTTCGTGCAACATACACACATATTATATATACTAATATATATTTACAGCAGCTTATTATGGCGTAGTAAGCTCACATATCAGCAAACGGAGCATGTTGCAGCAGCAGGGCGCACTTCGCTCTCTTAGTTCGGCGATACTTAATTTATTTTGCACTTTTAACTTGATAATAAACGTCAACTGGTATTAACGTAGTTTTGTTAGCGTATGTGTGTGTGCGTGTTTTAATTGGGTAATTGATAAATTTTGTTAGATTCCATAGAAAATCAGCTTATGTACAGCGCTGACGATTTCTGATTATTTATTTACTAAGAGGAGAAGTATAGAGGGGAAAACGAGCGGAGCTTGAGCAGTATAAATAGAAATTTACTTGAGTTGATATCGAAACTAGCCAACTCCAGACCACTCTTTTTTCCAATAATTATTTAATTTGTATACATTTAATATATTCTAATTTTTTTACCGATATTATGATTATTTAAACATTACCCCCTTTCGATTAATTATTTTGTATGGGTGGACTTTTTCCCCATTTGTAGGTCTGAATATTTTTAAACCATATTATATATGTATGGAAAAGTATTATTAAGGCTATAAAAATTACAATCACGATTTGACTAACTCGATTGATTAAATTAGTTGATTAAATAGTGATTAATTCTACATTTAGAATTTTTTTTTTATATTTATATCTTAACTTACAACTTGATATATATTTAATATTCAAAATGAGTAATTTTCTGATTTTTTGATTTAACTAAAATTTATATATATTTATTATTTTTATATTATTTTATATTGATTTAAATATTTTTCATTTAATTAAGTCTTTAATTTTGGAAAATAATAAATGAATTTATCAGCAGATATGATTAGTTAGCGATTAACTAACTAATAACTTAATTCTTCAGAAAATATAATTAAATTGCAATTAATTGATTATTGACTGAATAATTGGAAATTGTGATTAATTAGCAATAAATTGACTAATTCCAATACTTAATTTGTTAGAAATTGTGATTTGCTAGCAATCAATTGAACAGCTATTTTATTTGTAAAAAAATATAATTAATTTGCGATTCGTGATCAATTACTAAATTTTTAGGAATAAGTGATTTGACTGATTAGTTAATTAATAAAGTCCTTAAAAAAATCTTAAAAATTTGTTATTAACAAATTAATTATATAATTTCGATTAAATCTGTTATAAATTAAAAAGTAAATAATTCTTTATTTAATTAAATAGCAACTACTGAATTAATAGTATTTAATTTATGGTAAAAAATTTATTGGTTAAAACTGCGATTTGTTCAATATTAATTAATTAATTTATTAAAAATGAGACTAATTGAATAGACTATATCTGTGACTAATTCAACAAAAATTAATTAGCTGACTGAATTGTCAATTAACTAATTGATTAATAATTAAATAATGATAAAAATAATTAATATTAATAATAAATAATTAATAATGATAAATTAAAAATAAATTAACTAAGTGATTAAACAGTATTTAGCTAATCATTATATAATAAATTTATTGAAATTATGACTAATGAATCAGTAATAAATTAATTGATTTAAACTCTGATTAAACAAATAGCAATCGACTAATTGAATAACATTGTGACTAATTATAGAGGAATTACTGAATTGATTAACTCTATGACTTTTTTAAAGATTTAATTAAAATTGTGATTAATAAAATATTAATTGGAAATTTTACTAATTAATTAGTTATTTCTTAAATGATTTAAATAGTGTTTAATTAATAGTAATTAATTAATTGATAATAATACCTATGACTAACTAAATTAGTTGCCTAAAACTGCGTTTAATGAAATAGTATATTTATGATTAGTTAAATATTACTAAATTGATTTAATTAATTTAAATTGTAATGAATTATTTGATATGTAATTTCTTGATTTAAAATATGATTAACGAAACCGCAATTCGTTAATTGATTAAATGTGTGACTAATTAAATAGTAATTAGTGCACACAGTTTAATCCAGCCAGTTTTTTGAGGATCTCAAATTTTATTTTCAATATTTTTGTGTTTTATTTTTTTTTATATATTTATTTTTTTTTTTTTTGAGGATCTTAAATTTTATTTTCAATATTTTTGTGTGTGTTTTTTTATTATATTTTTATTTTTTTTTTTTTTTTTGATCTTAAATTTTATTTTCAATATTTTTGTGTGTGTTTTTTTATTTTTTTTATTTTTTTTTTTTTTTTTTGAGGATCTTAAATTTTATTTTCAATATTTTCGTGTCTTTTTTTTTGTAAAATTTCTTGCAATAATTAATACTGTTTTATCTCTCTTTTTTAGCTAAAAACCCTTCAAATGCAACACTCTCACCATTTTCACCCTCTCTCTTCCTCTCCTTTCAGGTCACCGACTGGGGTGTCGAACAGTGTCGTTCACTACACGTGCACATCAAGTCCCCGCCACGCCTACGCGTCGACCCGGCCAGTGTGACACTACAACGTGGCGATTCACTGCGTGTACGCTGCCTTTCGCCCGGCAACGATGACATCAAACGCTATGCACAGCTCGGCTACAGTTGGACACGCAACGGTGTACTCTTTCAATCGAATCCGGCCACGGTGATGTGGGAAGATCTCTATCCCGATGGTAGCATACTAAAAATAAACAATATACAGGTGAGTTAAGAGCAGAGTTAAACCAAAGTAAAGCTGGGAAATTGAAGAAAATGAAAATGAAAGAAATAAAAGCTCCAGCTTAAGCTTTTATGCATGCGAATTTATTGCTTGTTGTTTTTATTTTATTTTATTTATTTATTTTATTTTAACAAAATTTAAAATGATGCTTTTTTTACTACTCTTCTTTGGCACAGAAATCTGCGGAATACACTTGCATCGTCTCGAATACCGTGCGACCAGTATCGAAGAGTGTCTACATAACCGTTATCGACCGCAATGCGGTACATGTGTGTCACAGCGACACTTTGTACGGTGTCCGTTGGCCAACGAGTGCGCCGGGCGCTGCCATTGTTGCCGACTGTCCGCGCGGTTTCGAGGGCCACTCGCGGCGTATTTGTGAAAGCCGCGACACAGGCAATTCGACATGGTTGTTACCGGATTTCTCGCTCTGCGTGCATGATCAACTGTTGGCGATTTACAATAAGTTTCGCGCGCTAAGCGCCGGCTATCAGCAGACCAACTCGTCGGCCATACTAAAGGCTTGCTTTGAATATACGGCAAAGCGGCATAAACGTTTTCTGCCCGGCGAGGCGGGATTTCTCATCGATATGCTGCATGAGGTGAGTGGAATGTGTGGAGAAAGGGAGTGTGTGTATGAGAGAGAGAGAGAGAAAGAGAGAGGGTGAAGTGGTGAAGAAAGTTGAGCTGTGGTGGGGAGGCACAAGTGTTTTTCAAGGCACAAGTGAGCGTATTTGGCTCGTATGACCTGAATCGAAAATAAAAAAATAAAATAAAAAACTAAAATAAAAATAAAAAATTTAAAAAAATATTAAAAAGTAAAATGCAAGAAAAATATTGTAAAAGCAATCGCTTTTTATATTTATTTAATGCATTTATGTACGTATGTCAAGCACACAACGGTATTGTTTGGCAAATGTTTACGTGCATTTCAGCAATTGCACTCAACGTAAAAATGTCACGTAAACACCTTCACTGTTCGTTCGCATGTGTGAGTGTGTGACTTGCATTTTTAAGGCTTTTAAATATTTTTATGACAATTTATGCAGGAGTCTTTTTCTTTTTATTTCAAAATAACCCATAAAAATATCGATTTTCATATTTTTGAGACTTAAAAATTTACTCATAAAATTCTCAGCACAAACATTGCGCAATGTTAGCTCAATGCCAGATGCCTTGAGTGCAGTGCTCGTGTTCATTTGTCAAAAAATTACACTCACTTGGCGACAATCGCTGACATTTTCTTTGGATCAAAAAGCACAACTCCTGTGCGGCTTTCAAGCGCATCCAAAACCAATGGCAAATGAAATTTCGCTGGCGTGAGAGTTGAGTGGATTTATGAAAAATGATGAGCATACGAGGGTAACTATTTTATTTAGAAGCTAAAGAAATTGTCTCTTATTGGAGAGAGCTCGAGGAAGATTCTTTTAACCGACTAAAATGCGCTTGGGCTCAGTCGAGATCTATAGCCTAAACCGAGTCTCTTCTCTTCAGAGTAGACCGCAAGTTAATTTCTGAACTTCAGAAGTCTTTCAACCCAAATTAGACAAGAAGTTAGCTCTCCTTCAGTCCTTTTAGGCATTTTTAGTCTTATGTGGGGCTCTTTGGTCAAGGTGTAGTTCCCAAGCTACCTATTTCACGAATGTTTTAACCTTTTGTAGCATGATTTGAGTTACTTTCATTCAAAAGTATATCCCTAGCTCGATTTTTGTCGAACGTAATAAATATTTGTAGCTTGATTTCAGAACATGCGATCCAAATGTAAGCCCCCAGGCTAACAAGAATGAAGCATTTGGGCCGATGGGAGGATCTCAAGTCCAGTAGTAGTTTCCAAGTAAACCCAATATCGGATGTATTAAGCAAGTGCTACCTGATCAAAGTTCCTTCTACATATATACATATATACATACATACAAAGAATTTTTACCCTCATATGACACGCTTTCATACAAGATAAGATCCCAAGTTAACTCTGAGTCAGAAATATAATATTAAACATTTATATGCTGATCAGAAGTTCCTCTATCTTTGTAGGACACACTAAGCACAATTAGCAAGATCTGCGGTCCTTTTCTCCAAGTTTATTTTTTTCCGCTCGTAAAGGCGATCCTTAGATCCTTTAAATCAGGAGTAGTCCACACTTTTAGTCTTTTGCAAATGTATTAAGCACTTATTGGCCTTCTTCCCAAGAAAAGAGCACATTATGGATGTATTAGGCATTTATAGCCTAACCTGAGATCCTTCAGTGCGAATGTAGATCTTAACCTCACTATATTTCGAACCAACAAAACATTTGTAACTCCAACTGAATCCCTTTTCTTCAAGATTAGATCCCCACTGAACTCTTTGTGGGATGTCTAATCTACGGCTCTTCTCTCAAAGTTAACGCTTGGCTAAAAATATTAAGCATTTGTGGCCTGATCATCCGTAGTTCTGTCTAAAAATAGATCCCAAACTTACGCTTTGTGAAGTCTTTGAACAATTTTTAGGCTGAACAGAAATTCTCTGTCCTAGAATAAATGTCTTTCTCTTTTAATTCTTCTTTTTGAGGTAAAGTTTTTGCTTTTCCACCCTTAGTTGTTTCACTTATCCATATGGAATATCCTTGACTTTTCTCTAAAAATTTCTTAGCCTTGAAAAATATTCTTTTGCCAAGCTTAGTCAATGCTTTTCTTTTTGAATAAAGTATGGTATTCCTCATTATAAAAAGGTCCTCTTGCTCCTCTTTTTGCTATACTCCTACGTTTGTCAAGTGAAAGTTATCTACCGGAAAAACAACATTACCCGACCCCAAAAGTTGTTTATTCTCCAACAACTCGTATTCGATTATCACTATAGAAGAGTGTCTCACTTGTCCCGTTCAACAGATGGTACCTAAGCAGTAGCTAAACCAAGTTAAGCGCTCGTCAGCTGAGAATATCTTTGGTCTTAGCATCAGTTAAAAAAAAACTCATCTACTTCTTAGCAACTGGAATCTTGAGCCACTTAATCCAAATCAGTTCGCAAAACAAAGCTGGACGAATTTAAAGCACTCGAGCTCTAAAACTGAAAAAATAGCAAACTTTGAGTTTAAACGAGGAGATTACACCGAGTTCCATAGATATCGAAAAACTCTGCAACGCACAGCATTATACGTGAAATTATCAAACCTTGGAAAGTCCTTTCGAGAAGTAAAGACGTATTTCTACAGAAGCTAGTGGTACAAAAGTCTAGAGAACTCTCCAAACCTCGGTTGCTTTTTTAAAAAACGTTGCGCTTTTGCCTTTAAAAGAATTCGCCTTGTAGAAAATCACAAATTAGAGCCTTCCTTGAAATGGGCAAGGCAAGCGTTTGCCTATTAATTTGACGCTAATTTAATAATGGCAGAAAATAGTTTGATCCTGAGGCTGGCAGTGAAAAAATTTACAGCATTTTCTTGTTAATAAAATTAGCTTGGCCTACAATCAAATGGAATCATATTTAAGTTCTCGAACTTTCATTTCATTCGACACCCTGCTAAGTCCAAATTTTTGGAAAATTAAAAAAGAGCCTTGAATAGTGCAACTAATTTGATAAAAATAAAAATAGATATTAATTCCTTGACTGAATAAAAGTTTGTTCACGACATCGTCGCAATGAAAAGCTCAACTACTCCAAAAAAATATAGTTCAACACTAGTATTTTAAGCCTGAAGTCATACCAATTCGTTCTTTGTTGTCAACTGTATGGTAGTTCACAAGTAAAGTCAAGAAGGCAAACTTATGCCTACTTTTTTGTGTCGTAGAATTTCAGTGGTTCTAAGCGAACTGGTATTTTACTAGTATAAAGCTGATGCATAGTCGTATGATTTCCTTTTCGTATACCGTGTTTTAACACTTTTTTAACACTTTCAACACAAATTTTAAACACCTATTGCTAAATACTGGTATGAAAATTAATGAACTTGAACTAGTTAGCGTAGAATTACACACAGGTAGTAAACTTAGTCGAAACTAGTATCTTTCTCAGCAGAGGCAGTCTACATACATATATTATTTTTTAGAATGCTGTAATGGTTTTAGGCAATCTGAGCAACTTTTCTGGTGCAAGTCTTAGAAAGAGGCGAATGTTTGGAGTTCACAAAATTTAGGGCAGCCCTCGTATAATGCTTGGCACTAAATTTCTGCCGCATGTAAGACCATATATATATTTATATATATATATATATATATATGTATTTTTTCATGAATATATACTCAGTTCCTCACAGGAAAGTGCTGGCAAACTGAAGATAAATGATTGTGCTTATGATGCAAAAAAAAATGCATTGGTTTTGGTGCAACCTTCTACTCACCAAACCTCATCATCATATTACATACATGTACAAGCCGCTGAAATATGTGCATTCGCCAGGTGCAACCACACTACAACCACAACAGCCACCAACATATTTCAACTACAACCAAACTGTTGCCTGAAAATTTTTCAGGAAAATCAAAAAGGGAGCATAGGGAGAGCTAAGACATCGGAGTTAAGGCTACATAAGAAGAAGAAGAGAGCAACAAATCATAAGTACAAGTAAAGAAAGCGCAATAAAAAAGTCCCCTACAGACGAAAGTTAGTAACGATGATAGTGGCGGTGGTGAGGGTGAGTCGGTTGCTGATGATGTTGCGGACTGATGATAATAATGATGATGAAGATTTTGTTGTGTTGAAACTGTTGATGATGGTGTGATGCTGTTGCTCATGCTGTTGCTCCTCAATAATGGCGGTGTCGACCAAAATTCACTTTATACATAAGTACATACTTACATACATACATACATGGAGTTGAAGCAGTGCAATTTTTCATTTTAATGCACTTAGCGCATACAACGAATTCACAGCCGACACAAGTTTTTGTACGTTTTTTTTCCTTGCTCTTTGCCTTTGCACAAATATTTCTATTTCTTTCGCTTGCAAATAAGCCTACTTATGGCATATATGTATGTGTGTATGTGTGAAATTTTCATATATGAACATCTAAGCGCTGTGCACCTGAAGAAAATGAAGAACTTTAAATAGTCCAATGAAAAGGTTAAGGCAGAGACAGCAAGAAAAGGAAACAAATTGCAAAGGAAAGTCGAAAGAAGTCGAAAAAGCTTGTAAAAGAAATCATAGTTTATTAGATTTCACTTTTGGCGGAAGTTATTTGCTCTCACATATTTTTTATATTTTTTTTAATATTTTTTATTATTTTTTCATTTTTTCAGGAATTCTCCATGAGTGTCTTGATAACTGATTATATTTTTTTTTACAAGGAATGTGCAATAAACTTGCAAAAATAAAGGAGAGTGTAACCAACTTCCTTTAAAAAAAGGCTACTAAAATCGAGTAAAATTCCATTGATAGATAAAAACCCATTGAATTGTTCATAATAACCCAAAAAAAATATTCGAAAATAATTTTTATAAAGTGAAGACCAATAAGAGTGATATTTCTTCCATAAAAAAAAACAAACTAATTGCTAAAAAGATTCAAATGTTTTTTTTTTTTTTTTCAATGTGAAGTACAATCGTTGCAATTAAGTTCGATTGGCCACCACGCCTTCCCTTGCAGGAGCGAATACAATGAACCGCATATTTGAGCACTTTTTCCACTAAAAAAAAACTCGTATATCATAAATAGCACGTTGAGTATTGACTTTTATAGCTACAAGAGAGTCTGGTTTACTGCTAAAGTCATTTGACTTTAACTACCCCTAGAAGAAGTAGTCTAATGGTATTAAATCACAACTTCTTGGAGGCCATTCAATGTAACAATTTCTTAAAATAATCCAATCTCCAACCCCTTTTTCTCATTAATTCGGTTGTTGTACGTGCTATGTGACACGTAGCCCCACCTTGTCGGAACCAGTTATTGTAAGGATCAACTTTTTACAATTTTGATGATAAAAAAGTTGGTTATCATCGATCTCTCACGCTCATTACATTAACGGTAACGGTGCTTCATTTCGAAAGAAGTATGGACCGCTGATTCCACCAGTCCAAAAACCACACTAAATTGTCATTTTAGTTATTTTAGCTGAATGTACTGGCTCTTGGTTCGACAGTTGTGTTTATTTACCGCATCACTGAGATGAAAGTGAGCCTCAACGGAGAAGATGATTTCCTTAAACAAATCTTTAATGAAATTGTAAACATTACTGAAGAAAATTAAAAAAAAAAAACAGTTTATGACATATTAAAAATGGCCACACTGACACTTAGAAATCATAACCTCCCTTTATTACTGCTCAAATACCTATAGCACTATATGCATGTAAATTCTTATAACTCTCCACTAATCGCTCTCTTAGATTATACCTATGAGTTGATATGGTTTTGCTTAGTGAGCAACGCAGTTGACCCTGAAGCGACATTGTGACATCGCTGTGATATCGCTTATTTTCCCTTTCTCAAAACCATTTCGTGAACAAATTTACATTCACATTGAGCGTGATTTCACTCTGTATAGATTTGATTGATACTTGACTATCTGAAAATGTCAACTGAGGGAGCGTCGAAGAGTGGATTCCACAGTACACTTTTTCAACGCATAGAGATGACTATGGTTTCCTGATCGATGGCATTTGTGTTTCAACAAACGTTCTTATATGGTGTTCTTATGAAAAAACAAACACTGTAGGTGGTATAATCTAGCTCCTTTGGCACTACTACAAGAGATCATATTTTAGCGTGGCCTATACTTCAATTTAAGGATTGACATTCGGATCGCTCTCCTTATCCCAATTCCTTGTTAAGATTAGCGCGTTTTGGAGCCGATTGCCTAAAGCTTATCTATATTTTTCTGTAGTTACTAGGGCGATGTCGTCTGGATATGCCACCCCACCACATCCAAAGCATGTGCAGTTCTTGTATTTGTTGTAAGACCCAACTGCTGTGGAGAAAAAACTCTCACTTAGGGTTAGCTCTTGCTGTGTGTGTTTGCTGATACAGGCGCTGCCCATTTGATCTCTTCGTAAATGTTCCTCTTTCTTAGTTGAGACGATACAGGATTCATTACGAGCTGTTGGGGGCCTATTTCTTATAGAAAAATGTTATTAAAAGTCACTTATTTCTTTCGAGGCAGACGCCAAGTCTGTACTCCTTCACTGCAAACCCTCTTTTGATTTACCGGACTAGTGTTACTTAGTGCCTTAACGAGCTCTCGCTGACCAGCTACAATGACTTTATAATAAAACAATTAATTAATAAAAGAAATTGCATAAATTTTATTGACCAATAAAAGAAACAAATTTAAAAAATTAAAAAATAAAAATATTATATACACATATATTTCTATATTTAAATAAGAGTCCACTGCCCTTTATTATTTTTCGACCTCTCATGCACTCACATCCTTTTAAAATTTTGTTAAATTTTCATTATACAATTTTCCTTCATCTTCTTTGCTCCCAGGTTGATACTTATCTCCAGCTAAAAGGCACACAATTGGAACGTGAGATGGCAGCAGAGATAATTTTACATATTCTGGATAAAGTTATGCAAAATACACAATCGCTTAATAGCCAACAGGTGAGTTATGAAATTTGTGAAATTATCATTTTAATCAGCAGCCAGAGTCAGTTGAGTAAGGAAGAAAACACGTCGCTGGCATTTCCTGATTAAATATTTTGTCGTCGTTCTTTAAGAGCATTGACATGAAAATTGATAGATATTGGCACAGTTGATAGAGCTTTCAGTTCTTAAGTCGGGAAGTTCGGAGCTAAGAAAAAAACCTTTCTCTTTTTTATTATGTAAACCTATCAGCTCCGTGTGAAAAATTAGCGGTGATGTGAGCCGGTCGTTCTATGTGTTGCATGATGAATTCATTGAGCGGATTGGCTCTGCAAAAATGGTGGAGCCTCAGAGAGCTACGAGCGTTTTTGAAGCCTACCTGCCACCACTTTAGAGTTAGTCGCTCACAAATTTCTAAGCATGTAGTCTTTCAAGTTTTCCAATAGGTACCAAGCGTCACAAGCTTAAGCTCGTCTCTCGCGACAGCCGGTTGTACGCATTGGAGTTGACACTAATTTTATGCGGCTGGGCTGGGCTGTCACCCTTTCGGCGATCTAAACCCATTTAGGTTAGCAGGCCACATAATGGTCGCCTTAGCCTTAATAATTGCTCTTATAAAGACATACAAGCATGCGTACAAGCATAATTGCGCAAATAACAGGAAGCTAAATCCCAAAAATATCTGGGTAATATAGCGCATACATTACTGCTCACTTAATCAGTATGTAGGTGATGTGATGTGATGAGCCGAATTCAAAGACTTTGAAACTTGCACAATTATAACAACAACCACATAAGTGGAGTGCTAAAATTCATCACAGCACATCATTACGTCGCGTCATCACATCGCATCGTCACATCACATCGGCTCATCACCAAAGTGACATTATGTCACACCAAAACATCACCGAATCAACATCAGTCACACCATACAAACACATTCATAAGTTAATCTCAAATTGTAAATGAAGCGAAGTACACTCAACGTTGGATGAAGTAATATGTCAATGCATCACATGCATCATATACAACGACATCACGTCACATCGAAGCGTCACCACATCAACGTTAGCATATCACAACATACGAAAATACAACATTAATAAATAAGTAAATATCAAAGCGTAAATTAAAATAGGTAAATGACAGACGAAACAGCCAAGAATAATATGAAAGAGATCGCAGCAGACTAAGAATTAAGGAGACATGGGTACACAAATAGTGTGGAATAGAATAGAACCCCTGCGGTTAGTGTACCAACAATTTTCCCGCCGTATGGCATGCCTGTCGTGTGAGGCCAATAAAATTCAGTCGGATATGTATACCGCAACGTCACGATTTTTTTCCAGCCAAAGACTGTCACTGCTGCAACATTTCCCGAAATCTGCTTTGAGTTCATTACCACAGCTGTTTTTGTTTATCAAAAATATCACAACGTGATATAAATAATTAAAGCTCAACATTTAAAAGCGAAGTTTTGTAAACAAGTCATAAAAATGCACACAAACATGCCCACATGTATGTATACAAATATGTGCAAATAATATTAAATAAAATTTCCTTTCAATGGAGGCGAACCAATCAAAACCATAAAAACAAACGAAAATAAAAGCAAACACAAAAACAAAACTATAATCGAGTTACATCAAAGTCTCGACAAACGATTGCGCCGCCATAACATTCGCAGCAATAACAGCAACAATACAAAAATCAAAAGCAACAAAACAATACAAACTTAAGCAATCAACCAGCAACAACAACAACAACATCAACAACAACCACTGAGAATAATAGCATGAAAAAACAAGCAACAATCATAGAGAAGCCACCGAACACGCTTTGACTAAAGCCAATAGCTTGCGAAACTTTATTGGCAGTTTGGCAGCAGCGATGACGTTGGAAATCTTGTACTGACGCATGCAATGACTTTTCACGCGTACATGCACAGCAACAACAACAACAACGAGTACAACAACAACTGCAGCTACAATTTGCCGCAGTGACAGTAATGGCAACAACAACAACAACAACAACAACAACAACAACAACAACAAACAAACAACAACAAACAACAAGACAGCAGTGTTGGCAACAGCAATTGCTGCTTTTAACTCTTCGCCATTGTTTGCAGCAAATTTAGAAGAAATCGTTGATCGTTGCACGCGATGCGTTGATGCAATTGCATGTGGATAATGTGGCAGACAGCCGTGCGATACAAACTGGAATACGCACATATGGATGTATGTGTGTGTGTGGCATGCATATTTCTAGATTTACGTATAAATGTAAAGGGTGTTTATATTAGGCGTTTGATTTCCATCAAGGCAAAACTATTTTCGGAACTGATTTTATGGCAGCTGTCACGTCATTTATACTCAGTTCGGTGTGTCTTTTCATTATGAGCAGGCTTACTCCGGAACAACGTCTGCTAAAGACTCAAAATTATTACCAAAATGACACATCGCTTGCAGCGTACAATATTCGGTCGACATAATCGCCCAGTAAAGTCAGTAATTCGAGCAACCATGGATCGGATACAAACCAAGTTCACTCTAGTATATAATGCGTGGCCTTAGAGATGCCGCAGAAGAAGAATATCGAAAAAAAAACCACAAAGAATCCATCCCCCTTATGGAAGATTTTTCGTGAGAATAGTGATTTGCGGAATTAGAAAATTTAACTCATATAAGAAGTGAAGCCGAACGACTATTACGTGTGTCACACGTTCGGTGAATGGGTTTGGATACGGTTTGCCACCGATCGTTATTATCATAAGATAATTTTATTCAACGATGCAGCTCACTCTTAGTTGAATCGGTAGGTTAGTGAACTAAATTCTCGTATTGAGAGTGATGATAATCCACAAGCCATTGTTAAAACACCTCTGCAGCCTCAAAAGGTCAATGTTCCGTATGCTCTATGGGCAGAAAAAATCCTTGTTAAGCCAATCATAATGTTACAGTCAATGGGGAACGCTATGGAGTCATGACTCAAGGCTTTTTCGTGGCAGAATGAGAGGATATTGAAGTGGACGATCTTGGATACCAACAAGACGACGCAAAATACCATGCAGCCAACAAAACAATCAATTTATTGAAGAGAGCTTTTGGTGAGGGCTTTATCTTGCATCGTGGCCTCCAAAATCATGCGAGTTAACACCGCATTTTTGTGGAATTAGGTGAAGTCGGTTGTCTATGCAGATAAGCCCTGACACCTTGGAAATAATTTTCGAAAAGAGATATTCCCGGCAAAAATATATGCAAGCCAGCCGCAGCAGTCACAGGCACAAAATCAATGTTTAATGCATAATGTCAATCACTCATCTTCATAAAAGAGCTAAATTCTTGGCCACAACTTCATATTATTCGCGTTTTATTTCTTCTTCAAAACCAGATTTCTAAAAAAAAAAACACCCTTTATATATATTTAGTCATATATAACTGCATGTAATGTATATTTATATATATATATGTTTACGTATATCTATAGATTAATATATATATATATAAATATAACAGCAGATAGTTTGAAATTTGCTATTTCCATTTGGTTGATTTTTGCTGCTCGCTGCCCGCTGCACGCGTCGCGCCGCTCTGCTGGCGTCTTTTGTAGTGCGCTGTGAAATGTGACGGCATGCAATTCACGTGCATATTTGTAGTTATAAACATGCATATATATACTTCTAAGAGCAAACTCTCGTGTATACAAACATTTAAATATATATGTATATACATATGTATATTTATATATGTAAATATGCTTAAATCCTTGTGCGATTGCATCACTGTTTGTGTTTTCGACAGCTTGATCTAGCTTACTTACCCCTTTCACTTCAATCCTGTCTATCTTCCAATTTCGAATTTGATTTCTACTTCAAGTTGGTTTTTTTTTTTATTTGTAAACGAATGCAGTGTGTACCCTCTAGGAACAATAATTAGCTAAAGGCAAAGAATCTGTCATCAGTAACATAAATCCATATTTATAATGCTAGTAAAATATGTAAGGCTAAGACTAAGTTCGTGTGGTTTTGAAAGTAAGACACTTTGCTGGTATTCATATTAATGGCCAGGCAATTTATGAGACTTTCAGGGGAGACTAAAGTCCATTTATTGAAAATAAATGCTTCTTAATGGATGCTTGCTAATATCTTTTGTCAGATGTTTGGCACAGACATCAAGTGAGACCAAGTTTGGTTACTATATTTATTTAATATTCGGTCTTAAGTTCACAAATCCATCAAAAATAGTTACTTTGTTCTATGGAAGATTAGTCTCTAGTAATCATGTCAGCTATTTTTCGTAAGACATCGGCTTTCTGCTGGGGTTTGTCTCGGTGAATTTAAAAATTGACTGTTTATTCTAAACAGCTTCTGAACAGCTGTTCGTTTTTATGGTGAGCTTTTGATGTTCATGCCAAAAATACACACATTTCCTGTCGAGCAGCACCCGAAATTAGTAAAATTATAATTTTTTTTATCGATTTGCTATTTTGAATGTGGTCTGGTCACGGTCACGCCATGCTAACCACTCGACACAATAACCGTGCTGAGTCTGATAGGGCTTTAAGGACTAGTTTCCAAGGAATAAAGATGAGAAGAAGTCGTTAGGGCATTGCCTTTACCATTACCCTCGAGGCTTCAGAGCAGCTCGTCTTCATTTCCTAGGAAAGTTTTATTACGACTGTCTTACAAAGAGCTTCAGTAAGTGCCGGCGATTTTGAGTCCCTTTTCACACGCCCATTTTTTTTTATTTTTTAAATTTTCCACTGAGAGTTTAATTTCTGTTTTATTACATTAATTTTATGTTTAAAATTAACGACAACATTTTCAGTTTTATTTTTATTTTTCTAGCCAAAAAAAAAAAAATATTTTATAATTTTTTTGCCAAAAATTGAACTTTTTAAGCGAAATTTTTTTAGAACCACTCTTATGAAGAAATATCCAGCTGTTGAATATTGCTAAATTTAAAAAAAAAATTCTGAATTTTTCTAAGCCCTCTACCCTTTCAAACTAAAAATATCACACGGTTAGGACGTGTAATGTATGTATTTACCCTGAAGACGGTTACTGACGTGTAGACAAAATATAACGGACTTAAAGACACAATCTTATTATTTTATATTGGTCCAAATAAATACCTCGAGTCGAAAAAGCATGTCATTTTTAAATAAATGAAAGTTAGCGGAAACCATTAGAATAAAAATATCACATCAAAATATTCTACTTAATGAAAATTCCTTTTAAATTTCCAGCTGGAGAACTTCTTAAACTCTATATATGTATATATATGATTTACAAATACATTCAATATACACACACATACTATATATGTAACTTTATCTGCGCCTGTACATATATACATATCCCCTTTCAGTCCACAACCACTGTCAGCATTTGATTGCTAGAAAGCTTGTAAAAATTTTAAATTCAATTTGCAGCAAGAGTGATATTAAGCGTATTGAACGAACAAACGAATGCGTCTAACAATTTAATGCTACGAAATATGCTATGCCAGTGCGCCAGCTCCAATTCAGTCGCAATTGTAAGCGTGTAAAACGAATTAAAGCCATCGATTGTACAGAGAGGGATAGCAATTTGAGCTATGTATGCTGTAGTGGCGTGAACACATACATGTTTGCTCAAGCAGAAAGGAAGAGATTTAAACAATTTTAAAGATTTTAGGTGTATTTTGATTTGTCGATTAAACGTTTTTATTTTACTTTTAATGTAATTTTGATATAGTTGACAGATAGCAGATGTTAATAAAATTCAATAGAAGCTTTTTTAATAAAAATTTTAGTTTTTATTTTTATTGCAATTTTAATTTTAATTTTAAGTTTAGGTTTAAGTTTAATTTTAATTTTAATTTTAATTTTAATTTTAATTTTAATTTTAATTTTAATTTTAATTTTAATTTTAATTTTAATTTTAATTTTAATTTTAATTTGAATTTTAATTTTAATTTTAATTTTAATTTTAATTTTAATTTTAATATTAATTTTAATTTTAATTATAATTTTAATTTTAAATTTTAATTTTAATATTAACTTTAATTTTTATTTAAATTTTAATTTTAATTTTAATTTTAATTTTGATTTTAATTTTAATTTATCTTCAATTTTAAATTATCTTCAATTTTAATTTAGCTTAAACCTCATTTTTAGTGTTTTTTTTTTATATTTCAATATCTATATAAATTTGCTCCCATAGGAATTCGTAAAAAAAGTTACTCATCCGCCAAGGGCTACTACGACCATACTCCCTCGATTAATGGCTTCCTATGGCTACAATAGCTTGTCTATAAACAAATATGTTATTTTACTATACTTTATGACTTTGGTGGTGCATTCTGAATATTTGTATCTATTTAGCTCATATTTTGCTGTACGAAGATTTATAAATATTTCCGGATTTCATCGTTCATAGAAGTCGCTGCGCTTTTATTAATTTAGTTTACTAATATAAATATAAAAATTAAGACATTTAGCACAAACTATTTCAGAAAAGTTGAAAAATGTGCATAAATATTTAGCAAATTTCCCCAACCAATTGAGACTATTTTTGACCAAAAATCTCCCCAAAACATCTAAGTAATAAACATTGCATTTGACATTGATCTTTCTACTATTTATTTATTTCTTGCAAATCACACATTTTTCTTCTACTCGCCTTCAATAAATTAGCTTGTCTCCTAAGAACAATATATTCACATTTTTATTTATTTATTGCATTATACTAACAAATTTCCTTACTAAAATTTATGATGGCATTTCGGTCTAGCGAGACGACGCGTGAGAGAGCATCAACAACAAAATCCTTCAAAAATTGGCAAATCAACCATTTGCTATTGACATATAAATTACATGCTACTTAATTTCTATTTTATCTTATTTATATGCTTTTAAGTATTTTATGTCTATCTGGATTTATTTGTTGACTTTTTAACTGAGCTGCTTAAGCGATTTATGTATTTATTATTCAGCTGTGTTGGTATGAAATCAATACTAATATGTGTACTATATATATCTTCGCATATACACATATGCATATATGCCACACAAATTTTTGGCTTTCATGCATACATATATTATATATACATATGTTTGTATGTATGTATTGCAAGCGCTCATCGTTTATAAATTATTTATTTTAATAAATTTGCTTTTACGCTCCAGACAGCTTCCATCGAAAACACTGGCGTATATTTGATAAACAAATATTTCCAAAGAAATTTGCTAAAGAAAGAAAGATTAAAGAGCGATTTCCAGATTATTAGTAAATCATGCAAAAACAAAAAAACAAATATATTTTTAAATATATAAAAAGGGAATTTTATGCCTTTTGTCCTTGCTACTTTCTTTTTTAAGAAAATTGTTCAACAGAATTTGAGTTATTTTTTGGTGAGATTTTGGAGAGAAACTTTACGCTTTTAACACTTTGAAATCGTTAATTAAACTAACAAAAAAAAAAACAAAAAATTAAAAAAAAAAAATACTTGAAACACTCGAAACGTTTTTATTGTGATGGCCTGTGAGTTATATTTACACAAGCAAATTCTTTATTAAAAATATGGAACAAACTATTTATTGTGTAAGACTTCAATGTATTGAGTTGACAAGAATTCAGGGTTCCAAAACTGGATTTACTAAAATTAACTTTATTTGGCTTGGCTTGAGAACTTGGCTTGACTAATCTTGATTTGATTTGAATTAATTTAACTCGATTTGATTCAAATGGAGTTAGATTGTGGCCTCACTTGGTTTGATTTGAGTTGACTTGATTCAACGTCACTTCACTTGACTAGCGACTTTAACTGACTTAACCTGTTTCAACTTTACCAATGACTTAACTTGACTCAAATTGACTTCACTCAAAACCTTACATGATTTGATTTGACCTGACTTGTGACCTTATTGATTTGATCTGACCTTATTTTATTCGACTTGATTTGATATGACTTAATATGATTTCATCTGACTTGAAATGATGTGATTCGATGCAAACTGTTTCAAATGGACTCGCGACCTCACTGGAATTAACTTGACTAAAATTGTATTGACTAGTGACCTTATTTGCTTTGATTGGATTTGTCTCGATTTGATTTAATTTGATTTGATTTCTCTTAACTTTATTTGAATTGCTTCAAATAAGCATAAGTCGTGACTCCACTTGATCTGATTTGACTTCGTGACTTGACTTGACTTGACTTGACTCGAATTGGCTTGAATCGTTATGTTTTTATTTGATTTCACTTCACTTGACTCCAATTGATTCAAATGGACTTGTCCCGGACATAACTTGACTTGATTCGCTCGATTTGACTGGACTTGAGTTAATTTGATTAGACTTTTCTTGACTTGCTCTGATCTCATTTTGATTGGCTTGACCTGACGTGGGTTAGGTTGACTTGAGTTGAGTTCAATTGAGTTGAAGTAAGCTGAATTGACTTAGGTTCAATAATTGGTTTAGTTGAATTACCGTGGCGTTGGTCAGGATAGACCTAAACTAAGTTTAGTTGAGTTAACTTAATTTTGGTATAAGAAAGTTGAATTGATTTAAAAAAATCCTGAGTTATCAAATAAATGAAAGATTTATGCTTAAAAAAATATAAGAAATAGAATTATTTTATATAAGGAAGCTCAGAAAATTTCTGATATAAAGAAGGCCCATTTAAAAAGATTCTGTACCAAATCATCTCCTTAGACATGTTTCTATGTAAGAAAAGCTGCTCAGTAGATTACCACAGGAAATCCAAGCAACAGAAAACCTAAGTTGTCTTCAATTAAATTTTCAAAAACTTAAACTGCGTCAGGTGAGCCGCAGCAAAATCACTCACATCACTCACAGCCGCTAAGCAGCTCCACTCAATAGTGTAAACTCTAGAGGTAATTTAATTATGTACGTCTTCAACCCATCACAAGCGATTACTTTTCACTTAACTTGCTGACTCATTGTTGTTTTTATTTTTACCGTAAATACATGGTTTTTTCGCTCTCCTCAGCTCAATTCAATCCAACTCAACATGTTTCACTTTTCAATTTCACTTACAGCAAATTAAAAAATTGCAACTCTTAACACAATCAGCAGCGTTGAACCGTGAAACAATTGCAGCATCTCAATTAGCAACATCAACATCATCCACATCAGCTGCAGCAGCAGCGGCAGCCGCCGCATCGGTGGCAACGGCAGACAACAGTGCTGTGTCATCCTCATCCGCAACAGCAGGGGGAACAACACAAACAGACATCGCTGCAGGCTCAGCAACAGCTGGCAATGTCATGTCACCGGCACGCTCCGCGACCGCAGCCAATGCCGCCTTAGCTACGCTACTGCGCAACGAGGGTACTGCTGGCGCTGGCGCTGGCGGTGGCGGTGGCGGTGGTAGCGGCAATGGCATACTCACAGTCGACGAGGACTCACTGTCGCTGGATCGTCTAAATTCGTTGCGCATCTATATGACTTCAGTGAAAACGTTGCCGTTCAATTTAAGGATCTACGGGTAAGTAGTACGCAAACACACACACAAACCAGACGCGTACTTGACTGTGGAGCGGGCGGTGGCCTGAAGTGTGCGGGATAGTTTCGTTGTTACAGTTTACTAAACTATTAGCTTTTGAGGTATCATGCACAACAACTTTGCAATGTTAAGGGAAAATTGCTTGAGTAAAAGAGAAGTTGAAGCTGAACCCTCTATATGAATATACATATACATATATACATATATGAACGTTTTATTTAATAATATAGTTTTTGACGCGAGTCAAGAAAACTAAAGATATTTGTAGGAATTATTTTCTTTTTCTTCGACAAAGAAGTTGGCGTACTTTCGCCGCATATTTATTCTTCAAGCGAGCAATCGCTTTTCGAACTTCTTCATAGTTGCAACGGTAGACTTGTCCCATTCGAACTTTACCTCTGTAGACCAACTTCTTAAAAGCTCTTCATAGTCAGGCATCTCGGACCACACTTTGCTGCGGGTTGTCATGACAGGTTTTCGCATCGGACGGCAGGACTCGATGACTGACTGGCGCTTTTAAAAAGTCAAGTTAAATAATATAAAATAAATTTAAATGAAATAAATTGAAATAAAATAAAATTTAATTTAAATTGAATTAAAGCGAAATTAAATTAAAATAAAAGAATATTAAATAAAATTATAATAAAATAAAATTAAGAAATAATAAGTAAAATAATGAAAAGTAGATAAATATGAAATAAGCAGAAATTAATCAGAATAAGTAAAATAAAATAAAAATAAAATAAGTGGAATAAAATAAATTATTAATATTTATGTAATAAATTATTAGAATTAACTAAATACAAGTAAAACAAATTTTTTAAACACTTTAAATTAATAAAAGAAATAAAATAAAATAAAATAAAATAAAATGAAATAAAATAAAATAAAATAAAATAAAATAAAATAAAATAAAATAAAATAAAATAAAATAAAACAAAATAAAATATAGTAAAACAAAAGAATTAAAATTAAATAAAAATTGAATTAAATTATAAATCAAATAAAATTTAAATAAACACATTGCTAAGTAACAAAAAATAAAAAGTCTTTAAAAAATGAAAAAAATTATATCAAATGAATTAAATTAAATATAAAATAATGTAAAGAAAAAGGAAGTAATAAATAAGAATACATCTAAAAAAAAGGAAATAAAACAAAATAAATTAAAATATGAAGTAAGATAAACCCTAAATGAAAAAGTGGTACCATATAAACAAATATGAAAAACTACAATAAATTAATATGAATTAAATTAAATTATATTAAATAAAATATAATATGAAAAATTCAAACAAAATAATGTTCAGTTAATGGGTTTGAAAAAAATATAAAATAAAATAATTTAAACTGACGGAAAGTAAATAACACTAAATAAAGTAAATTGAATTAATAAGGAAAATAAATAATAAAAAATTTATTTAAAGTTAATTAGAATAAAATTAAAAAGCAAAATAAAAATAAATTTGAAAACTTAAGCCTGATATTATCAAAATTAGTTAGTTACGTACGCATAAAAAAAAGCTAGAGATGTAAAAAATTTAACCCAATCATTTATAGCATTTTTTCCCAATTCGACAAAAGTTTATTTTCACAAATTCTGCCCCTAACTGAACACATGAGCTTTTATGCTTATGTGAGTACATTACAATCGATTATAGCTAAAATAAACTTTATATAATTATTAGGAGAATTTTTTTTTTTAAATAAGTTAAGAAAAACTTGCTCTAATTGCGTTCTATTCCACCTTTACCGCTAGAACTAATTTTCTTCCTTTCATCTCTTACTTCGCCGCACGTACACACACACACACATGCAGCGATGATTTGTTCGCGGATCAACTTTACATGGATATTGGACTATCCAATCGCTTACTCAACATAATGGCCAACTCAACGATATTCGCATCGGTTATCTCGTATAAAAATTTAAAAAGTTTCCTACCAAGAACTTACTACACGCGCGGCAGGTGAGTTTCACTAGCATAGTAAATATTCGTTTGTATGTATACATGTATGTAGCACAGCAGTTGCCTTGGCGGCGGGATAATATGAACTGGCAGGATGAAGTTGTATGAAATGTCCTAATGACCGAAAGTTTTTTGTAAAATGTCTTCAAAGTTGTTTTTTTTTTTTTTTTTGGCTTCTTGCTTTTAATTTTCTTGACAGCAATTTGGTAGTTTTTGAAAATTCTCCAAAAGTGGCATAAAATGGAAAGTTTGCTTTAACGTTTATGAAGTCGATATGGCAATTCATTAGTGAAAGTATTAGTAGTTTTGCGGGAAAGCTGGTTTTGGTGTGGTCCAATTGAGATCAAATAAACATGGCATATGTATGTATACAAAAAAACCTAAATATATTATATATATATGCCTTTTCAGGAAAAAAAAATATTTTTTTTATAAAAAAATAAACTAAATATCTACAAAAGAATTTATTTACCACAAAATATTCAAAATGTTCAATACAAAAATTTGTTTACACTCTTACATCCTTATAAATACACTTAACTTTAGTATAAACAAATTCCTGAACACATACACACAGACAAGTCTAACGCTACATTTTCTTGTTGCCAACTCAGTTAATAACTTACAGTTTATATAGATTTTGCTCGGCCTGTTGTTGTTATTATTTGTTTTGTTTTTGTTTTTGTTTTTGTTTTTGTTTCTGTAATCTCTGTCGTTTCCATTGTATGTCTGTTGTTGCCCACTACTGTGCTCTCCACTGAGAGTTGCCACTGATTAAAAAGTTTTGTCGCCCAAAACGATCACAATTTCGTGCAAGTTTTTGACATTTTCTATGAAACTTTCAACTTTCGCCTAACGGTATATGGCACAAATGCACTTACATATATAAATACATGCAAAATAAATTTGATTTTATTGATTTTCCATTGGGTAAATGGCAAGATGACTTAAACTTGAGCGCATAACTTTAGTGGGAGAAGAAAAGAACGCTTATGGGGTAACATTACCATCAAATTTATTTTAAGTTTGAAAAACAATTTGAGAAATTTTTTACCGAATTTACTTAAACGACGCAGCTGACTGACCATGAACGTCGCTCGAATGGCATGTTGTGCAAGTTAATGACTCCCCGATGCTGTAATTTTGAAAGTCAATGAGTGGTTTTGGCTATTTTTAAGTATTTTTACGTAAGATTCTCTTGTTCTTCATTTTTTTTTAGTTTTTGGGACTTAACCTAGCAAAATATTTTTGTTGATTAATAATACGATTTTTTCATCATCATGATTATACGATGTGGGTTGAGGTGATGTTGTTTAATGTCATGGATGTGAAGTGAAATGATCTGATGTGTAGTGAAGTGATGTTATGTAAGTTGGGGTCATGTTATTTAATGAGACTTGGGATGAGTTGATGTGATGTAATGTGATAAGATACCATGTGATGTCATGTCATGTGAGGTCATTTGATGAAATATGATGCTATATATTGTGGTTAGGAAAGATATGATGCGGGTTTATTTTAGGTGAAGGTTGGGAGTGAAGTGTGTTGTGGACTAATGTTACGTCACGTGATGTCTGTTGACATCTCAAGTGATGCGATGTGATGTCATATGATATGTGAGATATGGTTTGATATGATGTAACGTAATTTTATATGGTCTGAAATGAAGTAATACGAAGGCAATCAACTTTAAATAGTAACAAATAATTAGATATCCTGTGAGGTCGCCGAGAAATGAGGAATGTAGTTCGTAGGGCTCCCAATGTGATGTAATATCATATGATGTGCTAAGTAGAAATTGCGTAAAATTAGGTAGTAATGTCTTGAAGTATTCCCGCATGTTAGGTACTATCATATGATATGATTTGAAGTATTGGCCTAGCAAGAAATAATCCACTAAGTTTGCAATAGATGGCTGTAGAGATCTCGAGTGCTTAAAGTCGCATGTCAAAAATGGACGCCAGTAAGGAAAAAAAATATGCTATATTTTACAATTTTTCTTCGAAAAAGGCGAAACCCCTAGTCAGAGATTGTGACTGTGTAGTATTGCTTCAGTCAATCGTGCACAATTTCGACTTCCTCGTTTCGCTCCGGGAAATTTTTTGTCAAAGATGTTTCACTGTGTGGAAGGCCAATTGTCAAAAATGCCGAAAATGTCGGTAAAATGATGTAAATCATCGATTAAACTGGCGCTAACGACCTCCAAGCCAGGAAGATTTGGTTGCGTATTTGTTGGGATTGGCAAGCTGTCCTCCTACTTCCAAACCACAAATTCGGAACTGTACTGCCAGCAATTATACCGTATGAAGGAATCAATCGCCCAGAAGCGCCTAGTTTTGACCAACATAAGGGGTATTGTGTTTCATCAGAACAACGCCAGGCCACACAGATCGATGCTAACTTGCCAAGATGCTACATAAGCTTAGTTGATAGGTTTTTATGCTTCCACCTTCCAAGGGATTACCATGCTATTGCCATCTATGGCGAATGATTTGGCGAGCGAATGGTTGAATGTGTTGTATGTAATTACACATGTGATGTGATGTCGTGTTTTCTCATATTTTTTTTCATATAATTTAATACCATATTTGTTTATTTATTTTTGTTTTTTATATATATTTTCCTATTCATAATTTTTTTTATTTATTGTTCATTTATTTAATATGTTTTAAGCTTTTTATTTATGTTTTTAATATTATGTATCCATTAGTTATTAATTTTCGGTTTCTATATGTAGAATTATTTAATCATTTATTTATATATTTTTTTTTCATTTACTTATTTTTTTATTTCTAATTTAGCTATTTAAATTTTTAACATTTATTTTTTAATTAATTTTTTTTTATTTTTTTATTTACTTATTTTTTTATTTCTAATTGAGTTATTTGAATTTGTTACTGTTATTTATTATTTTTTTATTTAATAAATTTTTTTATATTTTTTTTTTATTTATTTTATATTTTTATATGTTTATTAACTTATATTTTTGTTTACTTTTTATTTGGAATTTAGTTCTTAATATTTTTATAAATTGTTTATTATTTATTCATTTATTTTTTATTAATTTTATATTGTTTTTTATTTATTTATTTAGCTATTATTTAATTAATTAATCATTTCAACATTTTTTTAATTAACTATTTATTTATTCATATATTTATATTTTTCTTTTTATATTTTTTATTTATTTTATCTATTTATTAATAGGTTTTTATAACTTTTTTCTGTTTTATTTATTTTTTTATTAAATAACTTGTTTATTTAATCACTTAATAACTTATTTAGATATATATATGTATGTATTTAAGTATATATATTCATATATATTTTTTTATTTTTTTTCTTATTTTTAAATTTATTTATTGCCAGGTTTTAAGTTCTTTATTTATTTATTAATTTTAGAAAATTAGTATAAAAAATACTTATTCAATAATTTAATATGAAGTTTTTAGCGAGACCTATTTTTCTATGAACTTTATGATTTTTATGAAATTTAGTTAGACAATTAATATGTAAACTAGACTCGTTCGGTTACATAACTGCTAATCGCATTTAATATGCAACAAAGCTTGCATAAATTCTAATCAAAAACAACATAATGAACTTGAGAGCAAAATTCAACGAAATACCAAAAATATTATTTTTATTATATATATGTATGTGCGTAATTATGAACGAAGCTTTCACAAACTTTTCAAATTTATTTTTGCTTTTTCTCAAAATATTTTGCTAATTTAATGCACATTAAAGCATTATTTACGTAATAAGTTTTTGCTCAGCATCGGCAGCGCAACGTAACGCACATACACTGACACTCACATGTACACGTATTTGTGTGTGTATAGTGGTATGCGCCAGTACCTACCACATTTATCAGCAGAAAAATCTCTTTTCATCAGCCTGACTGCCTGTCTGCTCATTGCAACGAATGATAACAGAGCGCAAGCAATGAATGCCGGCAAATTATATTGGCAGCAAACAAAATTCATTATAAAATCTGCACGCATTGCCAAATAAGCTAACAAACAAAAAATAAAGGTTGAGGGGGGGGACCAAAAACAAATGACTGGCAATTTTAAGCATTTTGCATGCTCCGTTGTGCCACGCAGATGCAGATTGTGATTGACGATAGCGCAAAAAGGATATTTTGCATAATGCTATGAAAATTTGTTCAATTTGATTTACGGCCAAGTACATATGTGTGTGTGTGCAGTATATATATATATATGTATGTATGCATGCAACATTTTTGTTTCATTTGTTGTGTCTATGGAGGTTTTTTATTTTTTTGCGACTGATTTTTTTTTTTTGATTGGTTGACTGCCTGACTGAATGCATCACTCCTGCCTGACTGCTTGATTACCATTACTGATTAGCGTTAATTTTGTGGCGGCGCTCAATAGGCAAGTGGGCATTCATTGACTGAGTTTTAGTAAAAAAGATATCTATTCGCGATAGAATAAATTCATTTTTTGAGGTTTCATGAAATGGTCTGCTTTATTGGGCTGAAAATAACGGTCAAGGCAAAAGATATGCTCAGTAATTGAGATTATGTTGTTGTGAATATTTCAAATAAAAATAAACACCGACTGAGCTAAATAAATCCTACTCATCATGTCATCAAGCAGATTGCTCTCCTGCATAGCGTTTGCTGTAGATGAGGCTCAGTTTTGAACTAAACGCTGGAGAAGAGCATGTGAGCCGAGAAACGAGTGTGAATCCCTGCTGATTCTTCAATGGCATCATCTTTCTTAATATCTACTCAGTGAAATTCCTCCCACAGATTAGTCCTCAAACCCTGTTCTGCTTGGCCATCTTTTTCAGGATTGAATCTTTCCATACAGAAGATACGTTAGTCATGGTTTGTAGTTGAACCGTGCTCCGGACTACTCTCTACCATTGAGCGAATGGCTACGAAGTCTGCAACTTAGTTGACTGTCAGCATAAATTCACCCTTTTCGAATCTAGAGGTATTAAGCTGAAGAACAGAGCTGTGTGAAGACGACAGTTCCATGATTCCATCGTTGGACATCACCCCCTACAAGGTCTGCTGCTTAGACGACATACGACCAACGAGAGATTGAAGAAAATTAATTCAAATAAAATATGAAATTAATTTTAAAATTCCCCTTGCCCCTCGACAGGAAATTTCAATACCTCCCCATAATTAATATATTTTTATCCATTTTTAAAATTATTTATAAATTTCATACATTCGTCCACAGCGATCCCAGGGAGTCCGATTACATTTTAGCCTCACGCATACTACAGACATGGCTCTTCCAATCGAATCGATCTAACGATAATCTGCGTGAACCACTCGATTTACCCTTCGAAGCCGGGCATGTGGAGATCATATTTCAGCATGAAGCCGCACCGAAGGCGGGCGATTGGGTGGCAGTGTGTGGGTGAGTAGCGGAAAAGAACTGTTGTAGAAACAAATATTTTATTATTATTTCACGTCAAAATTTGCAATAATCAAATTTTTATTTTATTTGATCAAAATAATTGGAAAACACAGCTGAGACGCCGTTACTCACTCTGCAGTCGTTGTATTTTTATACATACATATCTATTGTTTATTTCGCTATTATCTTGTATGATTGTATTTTTCCTTGATTCCTTACGCTGGTAACTTAATTGCTATTTATTTATTGCCGTCTTTATACATATATAAATTTATGTGTATTTTCAGTCATGACTACAAAGCTTCCTTTGAATCGACTTGGCGCTCAGATTTATGCATCACCAAGCATCTGATGGCGAATATAACACGGTGTATATGTCCGTTATCCGGCACATACGTAGTCATGCTTACGAAACGTAATAATGATGTAAGTAATTTAATCTGAAATGAGGGGAGGAAATATAAAAGAACTAATTTATGTTTTTTTTTGTGAAAATTAAGATATTTTTCGCTGAAAAACAACGATTTCTTCTTATGTACAAAAATTTGCAGATTTTATACTATTATTATTTTTGTTTTTAATAATATTACCATTGTTTCTAATTTTATTATTTTTAGTTTTTTCATTAAATTTTTTCTTCTACTTTTTTAGTTTTTGTATTATTTTTTTAATTTTGTTAATTTTTTCACTTTTTAAATTTTATTTTTAAGTATTTATAATTGATTAATTTTTACTATTTTTATTGATTTTCATTTGTTATTATTATTATTATTATATTGTTATTATTATTTTTGTTTTTGATAATTATAACATTTTTAATTTTTTATTTTTATTAAATTTGTTCAAATTTTTCATTTATTTTTTTATTCATTATCTTTTTTAAATTCTTTAATTTTTTCACTCTTTTAATTTTACTTTTATTTTTTAGGTTTTTATGTTTGACAAATTTCTATTATTTTTGCTTAATTTTTATTTCTTATTACTATTATTATTATTATGATTATTATTATTATTATTATTATTATTATTATTATTATTATTATTATTATTATTATTATTATTATTATTATTAATATTAATATTACTATTATTTTTATTACAATTTTACTATTATTATTATCTTATTATAAGTTTTATGATTATAATTACTATTATTATTTAATTTTTTTACTATTATTTTTTTATACATTTTTCTTTAGATTAGTTTTCACTAAATTAATTTTTTTTTAAATCGATTTTATTTTATAATAATTAAATTTTATAACTTGGAGCTACCTATATTTAAGAAGGTCAAAATCAAAGCACTCGCAACCAACCTAAAAAACAATAATACTCCAACAACGTTGGAAAATCTAATGAGAGCAAACATTTTAAGGTTAAAAGTGAACAGCAACAAATAAGCAAAAAAAAGCACAAAAACTGCGAAAAGCTGTGAAAAGCACACAGAGTAAAGAAATAAAAGCGAAAGGAGTTAAACCATAACTAAAAAGGAAAAAAGACGAATTACGAGCCAAAACTTACTGGGCGTGCAAGCTCAAATTATGGTGATATAACAACGGTTTTTGCGGTGCAATGCTCACTGAGTCGCATTTTGAGATGGCAAACCAGCAGCCAGAGAGTTGCCAGGCCGAGTCTTTCGGTTGCTACTTTGCCTCGTGCAAATAAACTTTCGCATCATTCCATGCAGCGTCTTTGAGTGTGAGTTAAAGTACCACAAAGTGGCTGCCACGTAGCGTCGACGTCGAGAGCGTCGCATTTCTGTTGTCAAGGGCAAACACTTAGCTAGGAAATTAAATGACTAATTTAAAGAGAGAAATGGCGGCTAAATAAAAAAAAGTCGAAAATTATGTATAGGAAATTTAATTAGAAAAATAAATGAAATTAAAATGCATTAAATGAAAAAAATCAAATGAAATAAATTTAAGTAAATTAAGTAAAAAAACTATAATGAAATAACACTAAAACATAATATTAAATAAAAAACTCAAATAAAATTAAATAACCAAAGTATAAAATTAACTAAAATATTATTTACAACAAAATTAAATTAAATAAAAATAAATTGAAAAGTAATAAAATTTAATTTAAATTAATTTAAATTTAATTTACGTTAATTTAATTAAAAATAACTGGAAAAATACTATTCTATTCTTATTGTTAAAGTTTAAACTAAAATTAAATAAATTAAAATAAATTAAAATAATTCAAAATTACAAAATATAAAATCAAAAAAAGTAAAATAAAATAGATAGATAAAATATAGATTAAATTAAATTAAATATTTTAAATAATAAATAACATAAATTTAATTAAATTAAATAAAAAAAGAAAACGAAGTGAATTAAGGAAATTAAAGTAAATTAAATTAAATAAAAAGTTAAAAAAATTAAATTAAAATAAATTAAATTAAAAAAGAAAATAAAATTAATTAAGCAAACTTTGCTTTAATACAAAAAAATAAAAGTAAATTCAATTAAATAAAAAGTTAAAAAAAATTAAGTTATTAAATTAAAAATATAATAAAAAACATAGATTTAACTAAAATATCGTATAAAAAATTAAATTAAATTAAATTAAATTAAATTAAAAAAGAAAATAAAATTAATTAAGTAAACTTTGCTTTAATACAAAAAATAAAAGTAAATTAAATTAAATAAAAAGTTAAAAAAAAATGAATTAAAAAAATTAAATTAAATTAAGTAAAACATAAATTCAATTTAAAAAATTGTAATCAAAAAAATAAAAATATAATTAAATTAAGTAAATTTAAATCACATACGTTCAATAAAATTCAAACAAGAACGTAGAGTTGTCTTCGGCATTTCTGAAGCCTTTATACCTTTCATGGTCATATTAAATTTATGCTATTTTATTATAGGATCAAATAATAAGGTTCGCCTATTTGAAAAATTGGTTGGAGGGGACTGTATGATAAAGTTTTCGGTTTCAATGTTAATTCGCATATTTATTATTGAATACCAAATTTCATGCTCTCACATGCTTTTCCAACGGATCTATGAAATATAGAATCTGCCAAGTCGGTCACATATAAGCTACTGTGGTCCAATCTGGCGGATTCTAGCAACTAATTTGGTTGAATAATACCAAAAACTAGTTGATTCGTTTGCACATACATACTTCGATCCAAAGTTAATTATACGTTATTAAATATGAAGCTACGAACTCTTTAACTTCCTCCACCCTTCATCCTAGCCATCCAGTGCACGTAACGGGCCCACATACGACCTTCTCACACCAATATTATCGAGCATCATAAAAAAAACCTAAAACAAAATAAAACCGAATTGAATATAAATGAAAGTGAAAGTATAAAATCCGTTCGCAGCCACCAGAATACATGATTTATATGCCTTAATGGCATGTGAGTGTTTTGTATTTTGCAGCTGAGCAACAGCGCACACATAGCCATTAAGTGGCCTAGAGCAACCAAACGCCAAAAGGCAAGCGCCAGCACGTAATGTTTGCCTCGTAAGCCAGTGCTAGTACACAAATAGATATATTTTAACGCTTTTTAGAGATTTTCAGCTCGAAATCCACGTATATAAACATACATACACACACACACACACACACACACACACACTCTTTTACTACCGTCTGCATGTAGTTTTATGTGCGCTTCCTGATTTAACCGCTAAAAAAGCCAACATCGTATTTAGAGTTTGTAGAGCATTCGCCAAACCACACACATCCCTCTCGCTTACACTCACTCGCTCTTTTCACACTCTCTCCTTCGCTGCCTTTACTGCTTAGCTCGGTAAAGCACAGTTCCGCTGCATTTATCCTCCTTAAATAGCAAGAACAACAAACATGCAGTACTCAACAATTCAACTCACTCAAATTTACTTAAGTTCAGCTGCTGCTGCTGCTGCTTATACTGAGGCACAGCCGCTCGTTCGCTCAGTTGCCCAAAGCAAGCTTTAAAATTGCGTAGCGTGTATCATAAGTGGGCGTAAGTACATACATATATACATATATATCTCAACGTGGCACGAGTAGTACATGGCTGGCCTTCATACTTAGTTACTTTCGCTTTTTTAGCCTTTAGCCTTGGCAGTAACCGGAATAAAACCTCATAAATTTTAATGCTTATTTCCGCTTCCTTAAATTTCAAAGCTCTAACGGACAAACAGAGATATTTACTTACCCAACGACTTGTATTTGTTTTATGAATTTTCAAGTACAACAACAACAACAAATAATATTAAGTTACGGCGTCGAGTTAAAATATCATAAAAAGTGTTTGTTTGTAAAAAAAAAAAAACTTTGGCGTTTTTAACAAGAAATTTCCATTTTATTTTTTTTTTACTAGTTTATTTCTTTCCAATGAAAATAAAAATCAACAAAATTGAATTATAAACTGAGTTATCCCGAATTGGAAATAGAGTGAGCTATATGTAGCCATGTGTGTGTAAATTTGGCTTGCGTGAATTTAGCAGTAACTGGTTTAAAAACAGCATGTGCGAGCGGGAAGTGTCTTCGATTGGCTATAAAAATACGTTTTTATATTATTTTGATAACAAAGAAAATTATATATTTACTTTTATATTAACCCGTTATAACTTACATTTGGAAAAAATCTGATATTTATTTATTTATTCATAACATTTTCTCAATTTTCTTTCCAGTCTCCACACGTTTCGTCCACCCAAAGCCCATTGTTCGTGATTTTCAGCTGTGCCTGTGGTTTATTGCAATCGTGCTCGGCATTTCTCATACTGCTTCCGATTTGGTTTAACCGCAAATGTGCTATAACGTTTCTCAAAATGCAATTCTGCGTCTCCACGTCGAGTATAATGATCATTTTTCTACTGGGATTTCTGAAAATGTTACCAGAGGTAAGGAAAGAATTTTAATATGTTTTATTGGAGTGTGAAGAAAATTTATTGAAATAAAATATTTAAAATTAAATAAATTTAAATAAAAAACATTAAATAAAATTACTAAAAAAAGGTAAAATAGAAATAAATTAAATTAAGACATAAAGAATAGAAAAAATAAAATTTATTGTAACTAAATGCAATTAATAAATATAAAATAATTAAATAAAAAACATAAATATATCACATTAATAAATTATTTAAATTACATACTCAAATAAAATCGCACAAAATAACATAAATTAAATTAAATTAAAGCAAATAAAATTAAAACATTAATTTTCAATTATTAAATTTTAATTCAATTAAGAAAAAATTAAATGAAAATAAATTTACATAAAGTAAATTATATTACTTTTCTTTGGAGAAATGCAATGAAATTAATTAAAATTAAAAATAAAATACATTGAAATTAAAATAAAAAATTAAAAGATTCAAAATAAACGCAATTAATGAAATAATAATATGAAAATAAATATAAAATAATACAATTTAAGGAAACACACTTGAATGAAAATAAACTAAAATGAAATGGCAAAGAGTTTATTTAATTTTAATAACTAATAAAAAATACAATTAAATAAAAATTGGAATGGAAATAATAAAAAATGAATTAAAAAGAAATTAATTTAAATTAAATAATATTAACATATATTGAAACAAATTCAATTAATAAAAATTTAAAAATAAAAATCAAATAAAGCAGAGGAAATAAAATTAAAGTGTAATAAAAAAGTCAATTAAATTAAATTAAATTGGAAAAAAGGAAAATCAGTTAAGATAAAAAAATATACTGAAATTAAATTAAACTAGCTGAACTAAATCAAGTTAAATAAAAAATGTGGATTTAGATAATTAAATATTTAATAAAACAAATTAAATTAAATAAAATTGCAATGCAAGCACTGAAATTAAATTAAATTAATTAAATATTAAAAACAGTTGGAATTAAATTAAACTTTATTATTTATTTTATATTATATATATTTTATATATATGATAATATAAAATGCAATAACTGAAATAAAATAAATTAAATTAAAACGTATTATATTAAATTAAAAAGTAATTAATTTTATTTTTTTAAATAATTTGAATTAAACTAAATAAAATTAAAAAAAATAAAACAAAGGTTTTCATTTTCAATTAACGGTCGAAAAGCGCAAAATGTACGCTCTTATAGATTATATTAAATTATATAGACTGAAATAAAAACAGAAGTAATGAAACTAAAACACATTAGAATAAAATAAATTAAAAATAATTAAAAATTATAATAGTAAATAATATAGTATTAAATATTTAGTAAAATTAAATAAACAAAAAAAGAAAATTAAGCTTAAAATATATATAAAAAATAAAAAAAATATAAAGCAAAAAATACACATAAAAGTTAAAAAATAAATAATAAGAAACCAAACTAAATAAAGTGAAATAGAATAAAATTAAGCCATATTTAATTAGGCTAAATTTAAAGAATTAAAACTAATTGCAAAAATTAAATAAAAATTAAAAAAAAAACATTCAATAAAATGAATTAAATTGAATAAAATAATAAATTATATTATATAAAATTATTATTAAAAAATTAATCCAATAAAGCTAATTTAATTGGGAAAAAGTAAAATTAAACAAAATAGTGTAAAACGAAAAAATTTAAAAAAACAATAAAAATAATGGAAACCAATAAAATAAAATAAAATTCAAAGTAAACAATTAAGTCAAATATTTTCTTATTCTAGCAAAAATTGTCTCAAATGAAAGCCAATATTTTTTTTATACTTTATTTTACCTACATATCTAAATATTCTAAAAAAAATTCTATATTTTTAATAATGATTACCTATCTTTGATAAAAAAAATTTATCACCACTTGAAGCATAAAATTTTGTCGCCAAAAATTGTCCAACATTTCTATATGACAGTTGTTTTGCCCTATAAATGACCGAAAATTCCATTTTCCATGAATACAACTACACACAAAAGCTAAATCAATTACTAAATACAACACCACCACCAATTCACAAAACAACCAACCATAATTAACAACAAACACAAATGAATAATTTAACTACAATTTCACCACTCGCTAATAAGGCTGCCACGCATTTCACGCGGTTCGCGGAAATCACAGCACAAAAATCCCTGTCGGCCATAGTACACGCGACCAATCATATACACATTTTGAAGCACACACACACACAACTAGTAATTGCGCACAATTGCAATAGCAATTACAATTAAAATAATGAAAATTTAATAGCAAACGCGATTTTATGCCACTAATTTGAATTTCAATAAGCGATTAGCGTTAAGTGGTATGCAATGCCAGTATGATTTTATAGATACAAATAGATAAAATAGATAGATAGATAAATAGAAAAAGAGGACATTTAACGGTCTCAATGTGACGGTTAGTTAATTTGTTAGTTATATAAAATCGAAATGGTATTTATTTAGGCAGAGAAAACTACGAAAAGTAGCAAATATGTTATAAAGAAGAAGCAATACATACGAATATATGAGGTGTAGAAGGCAGCGGGCAGCGCTCAATAAATACATGAAAATATATAATACATACAAAGAAATTAATACCTTGCCGAATAATAAAATAAAATTCTCATCACCACTCTCTCCTGTTATATTCGGGATTTCAAAATTTTGAACATAAAAAAAATAATTTAATTTTTAATAAATAATAGTTAACTCATTAAATAATTCTAATATCAACAATGATGAGATAAATATATATATATTAAATATATTATACATTATTATACATATTTTCATTTATATCACATATGTAATAATTTATAATTTCTTTATTTGCTATCTTTAGGAATTTTTTAATCAAAATTTCAAGACGTACATGCCTTATACATATACATATTTATTTCAACTATTTATGCTTATACGAGAACACAAATATTTAATATTCACACATAACATTATATTCCTTTGGAGAATGTAGGAATTTTATTAAACTAAATTATAGTAATTTGGAATTTTTAGTGAATGAGAAAACAAAATTGCTTCATTATTCATACATACATATTTGTGAACTGTTTGCTGATAATTAATTTCTATGACTTCTTTATGATGAAAAAAAATTTAAAAATTGAACAAACTAAAAATAAAATAAAAAATAATAATATTTATAATAAAATAATATAATAACAGATTAAAAGAAAAAAAATTCAATAAAACAAAAAAATTACATAAAATTAAATATAATTCAAAAAAATGAAACTAAGTTATATTAAATTGAATTAAATTAAATAAGTTTAAGTAAAATGAAACAAAATAAAAGTACAATAAATTAAACTAACTAAAATTAAGTTAAAATACATAATGTCGAATTAATAAAACTAAATAAAATAGAATAAAATAAATTTAAATTAAATTAAAAAAAAATGGAAAAAATAAATTTAAATTAAATTAAGTTAAATTATATAAAGTAAAATAAATAAAACTAAATAAAATAGAAGAAAATAAATTTAAATTAAATTAAAAAAAATGGAAAAAATAAATTAAAATTAAACTAAGTTAAATTACATAAAGTAAAGTAAAAAAACTAATAAAATAGAATAAAATAAATTTAAATTAAATAAAAAAAAATAATGGAAAAAATTAATTTAAATAAAATTAAATTAAATTAAAAAAAAATAGAAAAATTAATTTTAAATATAATTGAATTAACTAAAACTAATTTAAATTAAATTAAATTTCTTTAGTTTACTTTCTTTTCAATTATATTTAAATAAAGCTAAATTCATACGATTTTAATTTAATAAAATAAAATAAAAACGAAATAATATAAAATAAAATATTAAAGTAAAATACTATAATAAAAAATGAAAAAAGACAAAAAATTAGGTAAAACATATTTAAAAAAATTTTATAAATTTTATTAATTTAAATTATATAAATAAAAATGAAATAAAGTTAAATAAATAAGACCAAATTTAATTAAGTTAAAATATTATTTAATACAAAAAAAAATAATAAATATTAATTAAAATATAAAAAACTAAGTTAAATTAAATTAGGTCAATTATATTTAAATGAATTTAAATAAAATTAATTTAAACTGATTTTAATTTAATAAAACAAAAGAAAATTAAATAAGACAGTAAAGTAAAAAAGTAAAATCAATAAAAATTAAATTAAATAAATTAAAAAACATAAAATTTAATTAAATTAAAATAAATTAAATTAGAAGAAAATAATTTAAATTATAATAAAAGAAATTATATAAACTAAATTAAAATTACTTTATATTTAATTGTATTAAGAAAATTTAATTTTTTAATTTAAAACATGATATTGTATTATATAAAACATTAAATGAATAAATTTTAATTAAAACAAAATTAAGTTAAATGAAATGAAATAAAGTTCAATTATATTAAATGAAGTTAAATTTAATAAAATTAATTTAAATTAATTTGAATATATTAAGTAAACATATTTAAAATAAATTTAAATTGATTTTTTATTAATAAAACAAAAAAAAAAAATAAAACAAAAAATAAAATAAAATAACATAAAATTAAATAAAATTTAAATAAATTAAATAAATTAATTAATTAAAATAAAATTAAGAAATCGAATTAAAATAACATAAAATTAAATTAAATTAAAATAAATTAAATTAGAAGAAAATATAATTATTAATTATATTATATTAAATTAAAAAATAAAATAAATAATGCGAACTAAAATAAAATGAAATATCAGGTGTACAACTTTGCTTCCACCGTTTTCCGATAGGTGGCTGTACCGGCTGAGGCTGGTTGAAATACATAAATGATAATGCCTTTAAAGTGAGTGTGGACAGTGCCTAACGAATTGTCGTCGCTATTTCAGTGACAGTTGTTCTTGTTTTCGTATTATTCACGCTCGAAAATGTCCGTCTATGTGCCTAATTCTCACCATTTGCGGAAAGTTTTACTTTT